CCAGTCGTGTGAGCTATCCCACCATGTCTCTGTGATTCCAATGAGATCATGACGCTGGGACCGCACACAGATCTCCAGTTCGTCCTGCTTATTCCCCATGCTTCGCACATTGGTGTACAGGCATTTCAGGGAAGTAATCGAGCCTGCAGGTTCCCCAGGAGGGGTGAAAGAGGACCCTGTGTGATCATTTCCTGTCCTCACCTCCCCACTAGCATACTCCCGCTGGAAGCCATCTGGCCTTGGCTGCGTGGTACTGTTTGCCGTGTCTGTGTGACACTCGCCTTTCCCCTTCTCGCCCTCCTAACCAGGTTGGCCAGCCTTTTGGCAAAGAGACATGTGCCTCTCTTGCTGAGATGGATCCCATCATTCCCCACTAGCTGGTGCTCGTAAATAGAGTCCCATGGTCATAGAAGTCAAAACCCTACCTAATATCCAAATTCATTATATAAGGGATGTTCAGCATACACTGAGTGCTTGTGTTTTGCTCTCTTTCTTACCCCTGAGACTGGTTTTACCCAGCTCCCAAGGTTGCATTCTTTCCGTGACTGTTAATTGGCCCTGGCTTAGTTGCTTTTAGCCCTGGAGCCTCCAGTATCACCCAGTGCCTGTACTTCCAAGGCCTCTGCTCTTCCCGTGCCATTACTCCTCCATGCTGCATTTTATTCTGGACTCATAGATAGATCATTCTGAGCAGGAAAACTGCTTGTTATAGAAATCTGTATAACAATAGGTGTTGCATCATATGACTGTACAAAGCAAAGCAAAAATTAAAGTAGTCAGTAGTTACCTGGTCATTAGACAATTGCAGTTACAAGCCAAAACAAATCTGCAAGCAAGACAAGAAGAGTCCAGACAAAGCCTGCCAGCTCCTGATGCCTGTATCATTAGCCCAACATGAAACCTGGTGGCCTGTTGGTAGCAGTGGTACCACACTACTTGCTGCCCTCCATGGTTCGTAAAGCTCCAGGGCATCCTGAGCACAATGATGAGGAGATTTGCAAGGCCGCAGGTCCCACAGTGCAGAAGGGGGAGCCTACCCCGGCTATTCAAAGGGACCTGTTGAAAGGGGTCCAAAATGCAGACAGAAGTGCACCGTGAGCACAAATCAAGCAACTTGACTCTATAAACCACCTCTGAAGAGGGCAAGACTTGTCAGGAATTGGTTTTATATTTTGTAATGATGGCAGCCCTGGTACAGAACACAAGTCTGCATGGGGAGAACCTGACTTTTTATTTTCTTTTTTCCACACTATGGTTGTTTTTGTCCTTTCTGCACAGTACTTGAGCTTTGCTGAAAAGCTTTAGAGGACAGCTTTCTTTTTATTTATTAGTTTTTATTTTTCTTTTTGTTTTCCATCCTGCCTAAATTATAGCCAGACAGCTAATGTATTTTTAAGGGGCACAACATTTTGAGGTAGTGCAACTTTCAGCTTAGTTCCTTTAAGACTCACATAAGATCACAAAAAAGGCAGGGCAGGGAATCAATCCTTGGTCTCCAGAGTGCTGTGTTTAACTATGTAGCTGAAATAGGGCCTCTGTGTCACGGAGCTTGAAGCTGAATCAATTTCTTTTTAAAAGATATGTGTTTGCCATATTTCTTTGGAAGTCAATACAGATAAAATAGATCAATCAATCAATTGATCACTTACCACTCTTTAAAATAGTGTGGGGAGGAGGGAGAAGTATTGAAAAGACTGTATCCAATCTAATTGCAGGGAAATTTTAAGAGGGCAAATGAGGATTACCTTTTTATTTGGTATTTGAGTGTTAGGGTTACTGCCCTTGCAAAATATATCTTATTACAGTTTGGAACTGTATATAGCACATTACCAGTGCAGAAACCAAATAGCCAGTAGTGCAACAGTGTACATAGCACACTGTCTGTCGAAGATCCAAATTCAGTTTCCTGCTGCAGACTGGCTCCCTAGTTCCCACGCTTGTGTATGTCTTCTACTTTGTAGGAGTAATTAATTAGTCTCTATTC